AAAGGCTATTAGCCAGGGGATAAAATGGTGTCCTTGGCCTCTGTTTGTCAGAGGCTGGAGAGGGATGGCAGGAGACAAATCACTTGATCATTATCTTTGGTCCACACTCTCTGGGGCACCTGGTGCTGGCCACTGTCAGCAGACAGGATACTGGGCTAGATGGACCTTTGGTCTGACCCAGTACGGCCGTTCTTATGTTATGTTCACCTTCCACGCATGGCAAATGTGTGTCCTGAGCCCACCATATTCTCAATCTCCTTGCCCAGAGCCCTTCACATATCAAACAAACTCCTGCACCCCCACATCCACAAGCCTGTGACTTGCTCAGCACCTTCCACCTGAGCCCAACACTCCCCAGCCTTGAGCCCCCTTCCTGAGCCTGCATCCCCTTCTGCATCCAAATTCCCTCCCAGAGCTTGCACCTCTCACCACTTCCCACACCCAAATCCCTCATTCCCACCCCAGAGCCTACACATCCTGTCTCAACCAAGTAAAATAGTGATAGAAATGTAGCCATGTTAGTCTGGTATAGCTGAAACAAAATACAGGACTATATAGCACTTTAAAAACTAACAAGATGGTTTATTAGGTGCTGAGCTTTCGTGGGCCAGACCCACTTCCTCAGATCAAATAGTGGAAGAAAATAGTCACAGACTCTTGCACCCCCTCAGTCTTCTGCCACAACACTCTTGCACCATTCACACAATGCAAATTTGTGTCCTGAGCCCATCATAGTCCCAACCTCCGTGCCCTGAGCCACTCACACATCCCAACCCAAACTCCTGCACCCTCACATCCACAAGCCTGAGACTGGCTCAGCACCCCAACTTTCCACCTAACCCCAACAGTCTCCATCCTGGAGCCCGCTCCCTGAGCCAGCATCCCCTTCTCCACCTCCTGCTGCACCCAAATTCCCTCCAAGAGCTTGAACCTCTCTCCGCTTCCCACACCCAAATCCCTCCTTCCCCCTCTCCGCTTCCCACACCCAAATCCCTCCTTCCCACCCCAGAGCCCGCACTTCCTGTCTCAGCCCAGTGAGAGTGAGTAAGGGCTGGGGACAGAAAATGATGGAGAGGAGGGGAACAGAGAGGGTGGGGTCTTGGGGAAGGAATGTGATTTTAATGGATGGGTGGTTTTCTTGGGTTTTTTTGCTGACCAGACCTAGGGGTTCCTTGCCATTCTGAAAAGGTTCCATGGGAAACCCTGCGGTGGAGCAGGGACCAGCAGGGCTGGGTCCTAGAGAGAGCCGAATGCTCTGCCTGCAGCACAGTCTGAGGGAAGGGGGTGGAAGAGCAAGTCAGGCCTAGGGGCACCAGTTTAACAATCCCGCCTAGGGCACCATGGATCCTAAGGACGCCCTGAGAGCACACACACGCCATGGATGCTCTTGCACAAAAGCACCTGGCAGTGAGGGTGTGTTTGGAGCAAGTGTAGACACAGCCTGGGAGCGGCTGGGGAGCCCTCACCAGCTGGCCCCTGCTCTAGGAGGCAGGATAAGGGGCCCCCTGACGTTATGGAGGGGTGCTGGGCTGTGCAAGGGCTGGAGCATTCACACAGAGAGCACAGGGCCTGGAGCTTGATCTTCACCCACCCTGGCCCCACAGTGCTCCTGAGAGCAGCTGCTACGTACTGCAGTGGCCTCACGGTTTGATGTGCTGCCCCTCATCTACACACAGTTCCCTGGTATTGGTCAATGGGAGGGGCAGGTGCGGTGTCTGCAGGCAAGGACGGCATGTGGACACCCCCTGCTCTGCCTCGCAGGGGCTGCAGGGACATGCCAGCCACACCCAGGAGCAGCAGTTACCACGGGGATAATGACTCCAGACGTGGCAGGTTCGGCATTTTAGAGCTCACTGCTCCAAGAATCACATTTAAACAACCCAGAGAAATGAAAGTGATGTCTGCACAGCCCAGTCAGACCCAAACTAGCCCACTTTGCAAGCAGTGAAAGTGGTAACACGCGGGGCTGCTGACCCACAGGATCTTGCGGGCGCTTCAGAGCGACGGGGCTGCTGTTGTGCACAGAGATGAGAGAGCAGAGGGGTTTGTGCTGCTCTCTCCCCAGTTTAAGCAGCGCTGGCGCTTTGTGACTGCACACATGGGTAAGGAAGCCCTGAAGGGATAGGAAGGTTTCTGCTAGTTCCTCCTGTTTCACTTTGTTCTGCTGAATCTCTTCAGTGTCTCATTCTGATACTGTGTTTTTAGGGAATCTCCATGCTGTGTTAGACCTGGCAAAGGTAGCTGATACCCTGCTGTTTGTACTGGATCCACTTGATGGCTGGGACAGCACTGGAGATTACTACCTTTCTTGCCTCTTTGCTCAGGGACTTCCCAGCTATGGTAGGTGACTTAAAAAGCAGAGGGTACCCCAATGGTTTGGCTGGGGTGTCAAAAGTGATTTCAGAGTTCTGGGATGGAAACTGGTGCAGTAATCCGTTCCTCGTAAAGTAGGTAGATTGCCCCCTGGATATTGCTATTTAGAGCCTTTCAGTGCAGATCATTTGATTTGATGTCATCACTCCCCTGCACCCTCTGAGTGTACCTGTTGGGTTAATGCTGGTGATCTAAAGACATGAGATGCAGCTCTGATCCAGGCTGTCGCTTATGTATGAACACTTATTAGTGTTTTGACAGTTTAGATGCACAATATAATAAGCATAAATGAATCCTTATCTGTACATCCAGTATGTCTATATTATGGATCCCTGCCCCAGTGAGTGCTTTTTCAACATAGATTGTCCTTCTTCAAGTTTGTAAGGTGAATTAATGTCCATTTTTTCCCCCTAAATGGGTGAAGCTACTCTTTTAACTTCTAATGTGACTGTATCACAGGCTTAACCACTTCTGGTTCTGAAAATCAGTCTATTTCTTGGCTGTAACCAACTGATGATTTTTGAGTTTTGACTCTTAACTGTGCGGTTCTTTTTGCTGTCTGCAAGCCCTTGCTGTCCTGGGCGTTCCTGATCTACCACAGAAGAAACAGGCAGATGCTAAGAAGAAATTGGGCAAAGCCATTGAGAAGCGCTTCCCAGATGCCAAACTCTTCCCCCTGAACACTGAGCAAGAGTCTTTGTTGTTGTTGAGGCATCTTGCTGCCCAGAAGCAGCGGCACCTTGCTTTCCGTGACAGACGGGCCTACCTGCTTGCCCACAATGCCGAATTTGTGCCCAGTCGTGATAGTGACTTGGTGGGGAACCTGAAGGTATCTGGCTATGTTCGGGGATGGACTCTCAATGTAAACAGCCTGGTGCATATCGTGGGACATGGAGACTTCCAGATGAGTCAGGTTGATGCCCCTCCAGACCCTTTCACTCTAAACCCCAGAGTAGCTAAAGGCCAGCAGAAGAAGGGCCAGGACATGGAAATACAGGTAAACTTGTGTTCTGGACTCTGAGTGGTCCACTGAACATTATCTGTTGCCTGCTAATTGTTTTAGATGGGGCAGGATCTTAAATCAATGCTATCTGCAATTTATTGCTGGATTAAGATTCACTTATTCTGTAGATGAGCTAATAAATCTTTCTGAAGGCAAAACATTCAGCAAGTAGTGGTCTGTTACAAGTGTGTAGCTCATTGGGACAATCTGATCACAATTGCATTTCCATGTTAACTCTTCTGTCCAATCAGTGTAGTTTTTGTGTTCAAATGTGTCTTTATTTTTATTTTTTTAGATACTTTATCTTGTTTTCAGAAACGTGATTACTCTGCAGTTTTTTACATATGCCAGGTTATCTTATGTTGTTAAATGTTATCAGAACAGTCTTGCTAAAAATCCACGGTAGGCTTCTGTCAGGTTTCAATATGCCCTCACTCCCAGCAGTCAGCATCTGTGCTCATGCAGTTAGGATGGTCTAAGGCAGTCCGCAAAGCTTTGCCCTCTTTGGACAGAACACAGTTTTTCTAATGGGCATAGTGTGTGCTGTGTATCTGGACTTTTCTTGCTCGTGGTGGGATTGGTAAGGAGTGGTTGTGAAGGGGCTAGTCCTCTGCTACAAACTGCGATGTGCAGTGTGAATGGGGGGAGGGTCTCACTTGATGACTTTGTCTGATAGGATGATTCTGTAAACGGTGTCGTC